CCCTTTTGAAAAATCCTTTGGAGTAGCCATGAATGGGTTTAAACTTTAAATCTTCCTGCCTCAGCCTCCCAGAACTGAGCTTAGAGGCGAGCACCACCATATCCAGCCAATTCTAGTCTTTCAACATCCCGTCCCTCAAATGACTTAGTTCAGGGCCACTATTCTACCCAAAATGAATCAGCTTACCGACTGCCATCCCAAAGCCAAATCTCGCACCTTCACACGCGTCTTGGAATTTGTTCCTTTCGAATGACTCCTCTGTGCCTCCAAGCACTATCTCTGTGAGGCCAGATTTTCTTTATGCATCTCAGCCAAGGCAACGTATTACACCACACAGGATGCAGAAGCAGATTCAAGTAAAAGAGGAAACAACTGCCTTGTGTTAAGCCAGACATTAGATTTGCAGATTTAAAACAATACCGTTTGTTTTTAATTTTTGAAGACTTAAAAATATATACTTACATGTAAATGATTTCATAGTATTGTGTACAGTTTAATACATAAACATTCCGTTTTAATTTGAATATTGTGGTATATTATCCACTTAAAAGCTTTTTGAGATCAATAACTTCTCATAGCATGAAAGGATCCTGAGACAAAAATTTGAGAGCCGCTGAGCAAGGAAAGATATTTACACAAAAAGTAAGCAGACACTTTTCCCAAGTGGTGAGATGGTTGTGTTTTCTTTGAACTGGGGATCGGGGATCGAACCCAGGTCCTTTTGCTTGCGAGGCAGGCAGCAGAACCACTGAACTAAATCCTGGGCCCTAATCCTTTTCTCTCTGTATGTTTTTTTCCTCAGGTACTGAGGTTGAACCATGGCTTTCGCACTGAGCTACATTCCCAGGCCTTTCATTTAGAGACAGGACCTTGCTAAGTCGCTATGTTGCCCAGGCTGGGCTTGAATTTGCCAGCGATCCTCCTGCCTTAGTGATAAAACTCTTAAAAACGATGGACAAAGGGCGCCCCCTGCTGCCCATTGCGACGCCTGCCGCGGTTCGAGTCCCTGCCGGGTGCTGGGGTCTGGGCACGGCCCTGGGAGCCATGGCCGAGGCGCAGGAGCAGTGGCTGCCGCTGCAGAAGGACAACCGCGACGGCCGCCTGCAGAAGCAGGAGCTGGAAGAACTGATGCGAGGCCTGGAGTCCGAGAGCGAGAGCCTCGCCGGGCGCCTGCACGAACTGCGCGAGCGGGAGCGCAGGTGCGCGGGGGGCGCCGCTCCGCGGAGCGGTCGGGCTGACCCGCCCGGTCCGCACCTCCGACCTAGGCCGCGGGACCCAGGCGATCTACCCAGAGGGTCCGGGAAGGGAGGCCGGTGCCTGGCACGACCCGGACCCGGCGGCTTCTTCTTCGGCTCCAACCCCCAGCCCACGCTGGTCTTTCCCGGGGGCCACAGGGGCCGCAGGATCTTGAGCGCCCCGCACCCTTGCGTAGCACCGCCCTCAGTTTCCCTTTGCAGTTTGCAGCGGAGGCGAAGCCAGGCAGCACCGTCCCTTCCAGGGGAGGCGAGCGAGGCGGTGCGGGAGCGCGCGGAGCGGGCACTGAGACTGCTGGAGGCTGCGGAGCGGTGCAAGCTGGGGCTGGTGAAGGGCAGGGCAGGGAGCGGCGGGGCGGGGCCGGGCCCGGGTGAGGAGGGGCTGGCGGAGAACACGGGACCACTCCCTCCACCCCGTCCGCAGAAGCAAAGCCACAGACAACTGCAGGAACAGCAGGAGGAGCTGTCCAGTCAGGTACGCAAGGGATGGGACGGCCTCTATCTCTGGGTTCCTCTCCGAGGTCCCGCTCTGGTCCCCGTCCCCACCCCCCTTGGGAACCCAGTAATCCCCGTCCTCACAAGCCCCTCCCCCAGCTTTTTTACTAAGGCGGGGAACAGCTGAGTCAGCAGCGCGCGGAGCAGCAAGTGGGGACTCACCTGGTGGAGCTGCAGGTGCTTGGGCGGGGCCAGGAGCACCAGGGGCGGGCGGGGCTCTGAGGAGCCCGGGCGGGACCCTGAGGCACAGCGTGGCTCGGGGAGTGCGGGTTGCTGACTTTTCTTGGCTCCTCGAGAAGCAGCTAGAGCTGGTGGAGGCCAAGTACGCCACGTAGGCGGAGGGCCTGCGGCAGGTGCGAGCGGAAGCGGGATCTTGGGGAAGGGGGTAGGGAGCTGTGCCCCCCGGAGTCTGATCGAGGCTCCGGTACCTCAGGACGTGCAGCGGACGGAGGAGGCCTGGGCCAGCTTCCAGGAGCAGAGCGGAGTCCTACATGTGCTGTCGATTTCCACCCCGAGAGCCCGTCACCTCCGATGGCACTGCGGCCCCCATCCCGCCATCCCCCGACCTGCGGCGGCTGGGGCCGGAAGCTCCCCTCCCCCCAGTCCTCGCTCCCTCCCGCCAGGAGCTGCAGGGGAAGGTGATGGAGGCGGCGGCTGCACTGGACGCCTGGCGGGGCAGCTCGGAACCGTAAGCGAGTTAGGACTGTTGGGTGCGGCGGGGCGGCTGTCGGGCCGGGGCGATGGCCCAGCTCGGTGCCCGCCTCTGCAGGTGGGACTCGTGGGCTCACTCATGGAGGAGGTGGCCAGGGTGGACTGCGTGAGCGCGGGTCGGGGCGGTCGGGCTGGAGCTGGAACCCGCATCCTCTGGGGAGACCTGGGCTGCGCTGCGCCCGCGCCCCCGACACAGAATGGGACGTGGGGCCCTTTTCTCGCAGGAGAAGCGGCTGTTCGGCGGCGCGGGCTCGGGGCGTCTCAGATGAGCCAGGAGGCGGCTCCTGAGGCTGCGGGCCCCTTCCTCATCCCCTCCCGGGCCTCTCTTCCTCGCTGCCCGTTTATCCCTCTGTCCGTCGTCGCAGGCTGTGGGCGTTGGGCGCGATACAGACCCTGGTGCTGGTTCCGCTCGTCCTGCTGGTGCTGTCGCTGCTCTACTTGGTGCTGGTGAAGCCCGACGCCATCCGCCAGGGACTCACGTTCCTACGCTCAGACGCCGCCTTCCGCCGCCTGCGCTACACGCTGTCCCTGCTAGCTCCAGTTGCGGGAGCGCGGGCTGCTGCCTGCCTACAGCGCATCACGCCGGCGGTGACCATCTGCACTTCTGTCTCCTGTGTGGTTCCTGGGCGCCCGGCGGAGACGGCTGAGGGTGCCCTCCTGACGGGCCAGGGCACTTCCGCCCAGAGGGTGCCAGTCACGTCGCGAGTCTAGGGCCCACCTTTCCCACAGCCTCCGGCTGGTCGGCAACTTCTTACTGAACTCGACCCCCCTCCGTGGGCCTCAGCCTTGGGGAGGAGCGGGCCTGGGTGGGCCAGGTTTCCCGTGGAGTCTGATTTCTTTCGTCCGGCTGCGTGTGGTCGTTCAGATCCCTGCAGACCTATTCCCTCTAGGTGGGCTCCCCATCCCCACGTGCCTCGCGCCCCTTTTCTGCTTTCTGGGCGCCTGAGCACAGCCAACAGTGAACGCTCAGGACTTCGAGCTCCGTGGGTACTTTTTTTATTCATGAGAAATGTTCTCCGTGGAAATGAACCTTTAGTTTTATTTTGTCTGACCCCAGTACTGCTCTTAACTTACAGTAGTGAAACTATGAATGGAGAAAATGCTCAGTGTATCCCTGTGCTTATACACAGGTTTTTGCAATGATATCTAAACTTTTTTGGTGATACTGGGGGTTGAAATCCTGGGGCTTCAAGCTGAGCTAGGTCTCGTTCAACTGAATTACCCAGACTGGGTTCGAACTTATCCTACCTTAGCCTTCCAATGTGCTGAAATTACAGGTGTGCACCACTACCCTCACCCCAATCTTTTTCATTTTGATCTTAGGCTTTTTAGTTGTTATTTAGTAATCCTTTATATCAAATTTAAGAATTGTGTTTTGAGACCCAAAAAATCCACTCTTTTCCTGGAAGTTACAAAGACATGTTTTCTTCTAAAGTCTTTCATTCTCCTTGGCCCTCCCTGTTTTTGGCAGCCATACTGGGCGGCTAAACACAGTTCTTTTGCACTGAGCTACATTTCCAGCCCTTTTTATTTTGAGGCGGAACCTCACTAAACTGCCCAGGCTGAGATCCTCTCGAATAGCTTGGATTATGGGTGTGCACCTCCTTGCCCGCCTCCCCGCCTTTCTTTTTTCCATGAGATCTTCCTGTGTTGCCCAGATTTGCCTTGAATTCCTGGATCCAAGTGCTCTTTCTGCCTCAGCCTGGGACTACAGGCCTGAGCTGCTACACCCGTATTTCTTCTAAATTTTTTTTTTTTGATACCGGGGATTGAACTTCGGTCCTTGTGCTTGTGAAGCAGGCGGCGAAACCACTGAGCTAAATCCCCGGCCCCTCTTCTAAATACTTCTAATGATGTAGATATCACATTTGTTAATATTCTTTTTTAATGCTGTTTCTATTTTTTTTGTTTTTTTTTTTGCTTTTTAAGTGAACATTTCGTATAACCCCATATTCTTTCCTTACCATATCAATTACACTTTGGGGGGCAGTACTAGAGAGTAAACCCAGAGGCCTCAGCATGCTAGGAGAGGGCTCTACCACTGCACTACATCTCAGGCTTTTAAATATTATTTTGAGACATCATCTCACTGAATAGCCTAAACTGATCTTGAATTTGTACTTCTGTTTCAGCCTCTGAAGAAGCTGAAATTACAGGCATGTACCACCATGCCTGGCCGTCCTTTATTTTGAAGAGTATTATTTCAGGATGTAGAATTATAGGCTGGTGGGTTTTCACCCATTTTAAACATTTCACTCCATTCTTGCTTTCATGGTTTCTAAAGAGTTGAGTGTAAATCTTAACTTCGCTCCTGTACAGATCAGGTGCTTTTTCTCTGGCTTCTTCCAGATATTCTGTCTTTAGCTGGGTGTAGTGGTGCCTCCTTGTAATCCCAGAACTATGAAAATCTGAGGCAGGAAGCCAAGTTCAAGCCCAGCCTGGGCAATTTAGGAAGACATTGGAGATGTGGCTTAGTGCAAAGGATGAACCAATACAAGAAAAACAGAAACCCAGATTTTATTTTTTGTCCTTGATATCTCGAACTTTGAATATGGCATGCCTAGGTGCAGACTTTTTCGCATTCACCCCGCCTGGTGTTTTTGGAGCATCTGGGATCTGTGGTTTGTCTGACAGTGTTTGGGAGAAAATCTGTCACTCACATGTTGCTACTGTTCATTCTATTCTCATTCTGGTGCTCCCATTATGAGTGCTATACCATTTGTAGTTGTTCTGCAGTTACTGGGTGTTGTATTTTTGGTTGTGCTGTTGGAAACGGAACCCAGGGCTTTGCGCGTGCTAAACAAGGAGCTTTACCACTGAGCTATACCTCCAGCCCCTTGGCATTTTCTATTTAGAGAACCTGAGGCTCAGAGATTTTTCTCCTCAGCCATGTCCAGTGTTCTAAGCCCATCAAAGGCATCCTTTATATATTCTCTCTCTCCCTCTTGCACTTTCAGCCTTTGCACTGACCTGTATCCCCAGCCCTTTATTGCTCTTTAAAGGTAGGGTCTTGTTAAATTGGTCAGGCTGGGCTTGAACTTGCAGTCTTCCTGCCTCATCCAGAGTGCTACCATTACAGGTTTATACCCCCGGGCTTGGCTCATTTCTGCACTTTCTTAGTATTTTCATCTCTGCCTACACTAAACATATGTCTTGCATGCCCATAACATCTTAATCACAGCTGATTTAAATTTTGTGTAGTATTGCCATCATCCCTGCCATTGCTGACTCTGGTTAGATGCACTTGCACTCTTCCACTATTTTGTCTTTCCGTGTACCAATATGTCACACTGCCTTGATTAGCAGGTTTTATTTTGCTTCACTACTGAAATAGCATGTTTGTTTTTTGTTTTGGTTTTTTTTTTGAGGGGGGGGGTCTTGCTATGTAGTACAGGCTGACCTTGAACTCACTATGTAGCCTTGAACTTGTGGCAATCCTCCTGCCTCAGCCACTCAAGTGCTGGGATTACAGGCATGTGCCACCACACCTGGCAGAAATAGCAATGTTTTGCCCTTTGTGTTCCCACATGTAAAATTTATAATCTGTCAATTTTCACTAAAACTTTCAGGAATTTTGATTGGCAATTGTAGTGAAAAACTCATATGCCAATTTGGAGAGGATAAATGCACATACTTCTATTACTGTGGTTGCCTTTCTGTCAACATCATTTTTTCTATATGAATCTTTCGTTAGATTAGTGACATTTTGGGTTTTTTTTTTTTTTTTTTCCGTACCGGGGATTGAACTCGGGTCCTTGTGCTTGCGCAGCAGGTGGCGAAACCACTGAGTTAAATCCCCTGCCGAAGATTAGTGACATTTTTGATGCAGTCATATTCACACACAACACTGATTTTTGTAAACTGACCTCTAATCTTGATTAGTTTTGATTTCTATCAAATTTTTTGAGACAGGTTCTTGCTGTGTAGCTCAAGAACATAACACACCATTGTGTATATATTTTGCTAATTTACTCCTACTAGTCAAGTACTCTACCACTGAGCTACAGCTCTAGCCTCCAAATTCTACCACATCGTTTGCACTAAGCCACATCCTCAGCACAGTCTAAGGATTTGAAGGCTGGAGCAGTAATCCTTGCTTATTTTTTTTAACAGCTCATGGATTTAACCTCTAGTAGTCTAAATAGCATGACAGCATTTTTAGTTCTTCAGGATGTATAATTTGCCATATTGCTATGATCTCAGCATTTTTTTCCAGTACTAGGGATTGAACTCAGGGTTCAGAGGCACATCCCCAGCCCTCTGAGATAGGGTCTTGAAACTGCCATCGAGCCTAGTTCCAACGTAGGACTTTTGGGGTTATTTTGTCCACACTGGTTAAATCTTGAGCACACAATTATTCTGTTTTGTTCTTTAGCACAAGAAATACATCATGTACATATGCAATAAGACAGGGAATGTGTCCAGTGCAAGGATTCACACCTGTGCAGGGAGATGATTGTCTACTCAGTCTCTGGGGACACCAAAGCATCGCCACATAGGATTCTTTTTTCTATAAAACAACTCCGCTGGGTAAAATGGCCAGGCCACTGGGTGGGAGCTTCTTGAGGGCCAGCTGGAGGGCAGAGGTACTCACAGACTCCATGCTTGTGAGTGGCTTTTGGAAGGGGCCACAATTGAGTTGCTGAGCTCCAGAGGGCCCTTCCTCAGTAGGGGATGTCGTTTTGATAGTACTGGATCATGTCATAGGTCCGGCTCCTAGAAGGTAAGGGGTGGCAAGAGTGAAAGTGAGGGTGAAAACTGTAACTATGCTTGCTGAGAAAGATATATTCTAACTATAGTCACTACTGTAATGCAAACTCACTAAAGCAAGGCCATCTCAGAAAGCCCTGCCAAATCTCATAAAGGTATAAAAATGAGAGTAAACTCCTGTTGGATGCTTTTCAAGGTGATTTGAATCCCTTGAAGCCACCAGCAATAAAGGTGATTTTGCTTCTACTCAGTGTGGTCTGTCCAGAGACATGCCACATTCTGCTCCCCAGCCTCTTTTCACTGACTTGGTGCTGCTGGATGCTTCTCTCCCTGGGTGTTCCCTGCATCCACCTTGAACAACCACCTGTTTCTCCACTGTGTCTCCAGCCTCATATACCTGCCTGAACTGCCCTGGCCCTTCCCTTCTTAGGGGTGGGTTCTCCACTTCTCCCAGGCTCAACCATCGGAGTGTCCTGTAACACAGCCTGTGGCCCCAGCCTCCTTTGCCCTATCTTTAGGGGATCCCTCTGACAGCCCCCGACTTCACCCACCTGCTGGAGTCTCTTCCTCCTGTTACCTCAAAGCCATCTCTGACTCTCACCCACATTAACCCCTCAGACTGGGCTCTGCCTTTTAACATCTGCATCCAGCCCTCCTCTCGGGCTCCTCTTACATCCCCTCATGCCTACCAGAGCAATGTCCCCACCATGCCTCCTACACTATTGCTCCCTTGCTGCTCCTCAGGGACCTGTGTACCTGGAACTCCTGGACCCCAGGTGGGCACAGCTTCCTAACTTCAGCCTCTTCACGGTGTTCACCTTAGCATTCCCCCAGCCCCTCAAAATCAGCACTTGTTCCCCCAAAACACCCATGAGAGAAGTGGCTTGGGGACTCCAAGACCCCTAATGCCTGTGCAGGGTAGGTAAGTGTGGGGAAAGAAGGGCAGGTGAGATGACTTGCCTGTTGCTAAGGAAGCAATTCTGAATGACCTTCATGATGAAATTCGCAGCCTCTCGCTCAGTCATGTTGGGACTAAATCTGTGCCTGGGGAAAGACCAAGCAGGGGGTGTTTCTGGCTACTATCACCTAACCCAGGCCATCTTGAGTCAGGTGGTCCTGCCTGTGCACGGAACTTCTGCATTTGGGAGTATGTTTATCTGAGGGCTGTGTCCTGAAAATGTACCCCCCAGAATCCAAAAGCTAGGGATGGTGTTCCCAATTATCTCCTGGGCCCAGGTGGCCCCATGGCTAGGGAGGAGGGAGCTGAGCCACTGCAGCCCCAGGGTTTAGGGCTGGTTTGTTATCCTCAAGGACCTAAAGGATGGGTACACATGTCCTCAGCATGGCCAGGAGAAGCTAGGATATCCCACCAAGAAACACCATTACTGGGGTGCCAAGGCAGTGACAGTCCAAAGGTTCCCATTTTGGGTGAGGCCTCAGCCAGTAGCTGTCCCTCAAATGTCCTGTGTATCTGCTGAGGAACCTACTTTAAGAGCTTGATTGTCTGGCCACGGAAGCAGGGCAGGCCTGTGTCCAACATGAGAGTGACCAGAGAGACTACTGCATCCATGTAGGGCCTGTGGAGAGATGGGAAAGGAAAGGGTAATCCCGGGCCCAGCTGCCTCCGACAGCCTCCTGCTGGACGTCCCTCCATGGCAGCCTTTGTTGCATACAATCTGCTGTCGAGTGTTACCACTGCTGTGTGCCCTTGGCCAGGTGACACATCATATAAACTAGGGCAATGCACATCTTTAGTATGCAGATTGGAGGGTGGCAAGTGGTCAGGCTATGAAGGGTGAATGTGATGCCAAGAAGGAGCCTGAGGCTGAGGCTGAGAAGAGAATGCGGACTACGGGTAGAGATGCAGGGTGATGGAAGTTGGTACAAGTGAACAGAGAGAGAGGTGGCCAGAAGGTAAGGTCTGGGTTCCCTTCTCCTTGCCAACCTCTGAGGGGCTGTCCACCCTGTGGCCCTCCCCTGTCACCCCAGGACTCACCGCACAGCCAGGTAGCCACGGACACACATTTCCATGAACCACTTGAATGGTGTGGCCTCCATCTTGCCTCCCATGATCATCACCATCTCATCTGTCAGCTTGATGTCAGGTTCCCACCCCAGGTTGCCACCTGGTGAGCTTTCAAACATGAAGCCAAAGTCTGTAAAACCCCAAGATGGAGGTGTGAGGGCAAGCAAAGATAGCATGGTCTCTAATCAAGGAGCAGAAGAGGATTTAAGATCCTCACAAGCAGGCCATGGGCCATATTTTCTTGGAGACAGTATGGGAGCAGCAGGCAGAAGAAAAAGAGCTGGAAGTAGAGCCAGGTGCCAGGATGGAGCAGAGAGGCAGCCTGAGCCTGGACAATCCCAGCTCCGTGGGCTCCAGCTTCTGACCCAGAACTCTGCTGCCACTCTCATCCCCAGCTTCCTGCCCCAGGACAGCCTGGTGGCAAGCTGGTTGGACCTCAGAGCTGGATGTGAATGCCTACCCTGACCCTCTTGCCTGGGTGCCACCCCCCACCTGTAGGGTGAAGGGAGAGGGGATGGCACTGTGGCCTGGCTGACCGATGTGGATGATGTGGCCCTTCTTGTCCAGCATGATGTTGCCGTTGTGCCTGTCCTTGATCTGCAGCAGGAACAGCAGGAGGCTGTAGGCGGCCATGCTTCGGATAAAGTTGTAGCGTGCCTGTGTATAGAAAGCTGTGGGCTCACAATGGCTCTGGCAGGGGGGTGCTGGTGGGGGGAGCTTTCTCTCTGGCTTTGCCCCAAGGCCTGTAGGTGCTCTCCCCAGCTGTGGCCACCCTGGAAGCAGAGCTTGGTGGTATCAGGGGTACAGGGGAAGCAGGCTCTTCCTCCTGTATTCAGGGTTTGTTTTCTCCTGGGAAGTCCAGCTCTAGGCTCCTGTGATACCCAGGGAAAGTGACCTGGTTTTATCCTCTTAACCTAAGATTCTGAAAAGCAGAAGGGAGAAAGCAGGTGCTGACCAACAGGTGGTGAGAGGGGTGCGACCAGAGGACAAGCAAGCCTGGGGCTAAGGCTCTATCCACTCCCTACCTGCTGGAAGGCCAAGGTAGACTCATCCCCATACTGGCGGGTGAAGTAGTCATACATGCCGAAGTCTGTCTGGCGGCCAAGCTGGTCTCGGGAGGTGCAGTCAGGGATGCACTCAATCACCCCACACTAGGGAAGGGTGGAGGAAAGTGACTTGGGCTTCCTGCGAGGTGGGAGGCACTGAGAGGTTCCTGCTGGGCTCCTGCTCAGGAAACTTACCCCAGGGGCGGTGGCCACTACACGGTAGGGAAAAACAAAAAGGTCCAGGCCGACCAACTGGAAGATATTCTTGAAGAGGTCGATGATTTGCAGGGCCAGCATGTCCTGGGAACCAGAGAAGTATGGGATCCACTGACCTCCCCTCTGCACCTGGCCCATAAAACTGCCACAGGCCCTGGAGGCTCACCCCTGGCAAAGGCTGAGTGGCCAGGGAAGGAAAGGGTAGGGGCCAAGAGTCTGGAAGGTCTTGCCTCTCTACATCTGGGGCTGTGCTGGGTGTGTGGCAGTGCTGCCTGGAGGGCATGAGAGGAGGGCACTGCCCTGCCTCAGGGCTCCTCCCTCTGACACTGGAGGTAGAGCAGGGAGGGTGGGTGGAGCAGGGAGGGTGGCTGGAACGAGAGGCCTCTGGGTTTGGCAGAAGCCTTAGTTTACTCCATAAATACCTGAACCAAACGAGGGGAAGCAAAGATTCATGTTTTTGCATGTGAGGTTCCCCTCTTTGGTGTGCTTGGAGCCTGACCCTAAGCCTGCTCTGTTACCTGCCGGCAGTCGTCCCCCACTTTGAAGATGGCTGCCTGCCAACAGATCTTCTGGCCGTCGGCCTCCTGACTGAGGCCCTCATCCTCGGAGTCAGAGCACCGCAGACCTGTGGGTGGGGCAGAGAGGTCACTTGTCTGCCGGAAGACAGCGAGATGCCTTGTGATAGTTCACTGTAAGCCCTGTTCATGTTCCTAGAAAGAACTCCAGGATTCTTGGGAACCACTTCTACAAAGTTTCTGGGGATCAACAAGAGGCCTTAGAAGGCCTAGGAAATGTCATGGGTGGTGGGATTACTGAGCCAGGAGTCTTAAGAACATTTTGGTTTAAATTGAACTAAAAAACAAGAGCCCTACTTTTTTTTTTTCCTTTTGCAGTACTGAGGATTGATCCCAGGCCTTCATATTGAGCTGCATCCCATTCCAGTACTAGGGATCGAACCCAGGATGTTTCCATTGAGCTGTATCCCCAACTCTGTTTTTAAACCTTTTTTTACATTGACACAGGATCTCGCTAAATTGGTCAAGCTAGGCTCAAATGTGTCATCTTCATCAGCCTCCCAGAATGCTAAGATTACAGGCATACACTACTATTTTGGAAACAGATGTAATCAAGTTAAAGATAAGGTCATCCTTATAACAAGATGGAAATTGGGATACAGACCCACAGGGGAAAAGGACATGTGGCGAGAGAGGCTGAGGCCTAGGTGATGCAGTGTGAGCCAAGGAACACCAGGGCTGCTGGTAACCATCAAAAGCTGAAAGAGGCAAGGAAGGATCCTGCCTCCGAGCCATGGCCCTGCTGACAGCCTAACGTTGGATTTCTGGCCCCCAGGAATACTTAGATTCCTATTGTTGAGGCTGTCCGACCCATGCTCATTTTTGTGGTGGCCCCAGCAAACGAGCAAGCCCCACAAAGGCCCAGACCATTTAGCCTCACGAAGGGGCCTCCTGGACACAAGCTCCTTGCCATCTCAAAGGAGAGGTGAGACTGACAGTAGGTAGATGGACAGACACCGTCTTTTACAGGGAGCTGGTGATAAACTGTGCCAAAAGAAACAAATTATCAAGGAAAGCATTCTAGATCTCAAACTAAAGCAGAATTCGTCACTGACCTTCTTTTTCAAGTTCACTGACTCCACATCGTTTCACCTTAAATTTGGCCAGATACGGGGCTTTTGCAGCACTAAAACAGAGAGAACACAGCACTCATGATACAGGATATAAAGCCTCCCAAGTAGGACTGCAGATCAGGGACTCACCTCTGCATGGGTGTCCCTGACTTGTAGTCAATGTCTAGCACAATGGCCTCAGGGTTGCTGGGCAGGTAGCAGCCTGTGCAGGGACAGAGGGGAGGCAAAGGGTGACCATGTGTGACCAAGAAAGAACCCACAACCAGTTCCCAATGTAGACTTTACATGCAGAGTTCACCCTTTAGTCACATTGCTCCCACAGGGGCCTCTGCTCCTCCTTTAAGACACCAGTGACTTTACTGTGGATAGAATGGGTCCATCCCCCCTTGGCTCTGTGATGGTTCAGGATTCTCCTGGACCAAACAAAGCCACCAATCCTCTCTAAGAGGATATGCTGAACCTTAGTCTCACAGACAATGCCTTGCTGTTCCTCAGTGGTGGGGGGCCTGCCTCTGCCCACCCCATCATGCCTTCCATTCCCCCTCCAGTTTTGAGCTTGCCTCATAACTGGGGCTCCCCTTCCTCAGTAAATGCATCCAGTAAGAGGACTAGAGGAAGTCCTTTCCTGTGGCATCAGGAGCCCAAGGGACCGTGTGTGCGTGTGTGTGTGTGTGTGTGTGTGTGTGTGTGTGTGTGTCTGGCCAGGCTCTTTGTCTCTACGCCTGCCCCACGCTACCCAGGGAAGGCTGTGACTCCCATCCCGTCTTGCTGGCCTCCCAAGGCTGCCTGCTTACCTGGCTGTACCTTAACTTCAGACAGGGCGGACAGACATGCCTTCTTTCTCTCATCGCCTTTAGGGTAGGGCCTGAGAAACAAGACAGAAATGCTTTTCTCTTTCTCCTGCAGGAAATACCCTCTGGGATTCCAGTCTGGATTCCTTCTCCATTTCTCTCTTCCCAATTCCAGGTACTCCTGGCTTTATCAGGCTGAGGTTGTCAGGAAACCATATGCATCAGTGGCTGCCCCAGGCTCTTCACTAAGGGGGTAAAGTGGAGCTATTTTCAGGCTCTGCCCCTTGCCCATGTGCAGTGGGTGTGTGCTGCTACCTGAGGTAACGGGGGGACAGACAGTTGTGAGGACTGACAGTTCTGGGCTCAAATTCTATCTCTGTAATTTACTTGCTCCATTACTTTGGGCAGGGCTCTCACACATCCTGCCTTAGGCTGAGGATGGCACTGGGTGACTGGAGTCATGTGCTCGTCTCATGATGCCCAGGAAACACTATCTCCTCACTTTTGTTTGGATCTGGAATGGCCCCCAAAGGCCCATGTGTTAGTCTTGATCCTCAGCTTGGTGCTGCTGGAAGGTGGTGGAGACCTATAAGAGGAGGGGCCTAGTGGAAGAGTTGAGGTCACTAAGGCATCCCTTTAAGGGAGACTGTGGGACACCAGTCTGTCTAATTCTAAGCTACCAGGAGATGGGCAGCTTCCTCTGGTATGTGTTTCCCCCATGATGTGCTGCCTCACCACAGGCCAAAGAGTAACAGGGCCTCCTGACTATGGACTGAAACCTTTAACACTATCAGCCAAAATAAACTTTTTCTTTTTTGGGGTCTTGCACACCCTAAGCACATGCTCTACCACTGACTATGCTCTACCCCAAGCCCCTCTCCTCTTTAAGTTGATTATCCCAGGTATCCTGTTACAGTGAGGCAAACCTAACATACTTCCCCAACCTTTTGTCTTTATGGGATAGAAGCTGCCAGTATTGCTGTTCTGCTCAGCGACCAGCCTAGGAAAGGGACACCGGAGACATGGTTGGGCCTCGTGGAGACCAAGATAGGAGCAGCCCGCACATTGGAGACAGCCTGGAAAGCAAGGCTTAAAAACACAGTGCTTAGAGCCCCAATGCCTGGGCCACATGGGCATGTGGTCAATGTTTACGATTCCAGGGCCCCCATCCCATACATATGGACAATGCCACCGACAACCAAGCATGGGATCAAATCCACATGTATTGAGTGTCCAGGCCAATAGTGATCAGGACTGTGGGCATCTGGTTTTCCAGAGTACAAGGAAGGGAGAGTAGCCTAACCGTGGGAGAAGGTGGGGAATGAAACAAAGATGTGTTTCCTTAAAGGGGATGGGTGTGCATGCTTGAATGACCCAGAACAGAGCTCTCCAACCCTGGCTGTGCATGTGAATCAGCAGAGGCCTCATCAGAGGAACTCCTGCTCAGCTGGTTGGGGTGGGAGGCGAGGACAGGAACAGGTATTTTTAAAGCTCCCTAGGCAATTCTAACAAGGACAGGGACAGTTATGAGATCCCTGGAGATGGTTTCTGAAGCACTGCCACTTACTTGATGATTGCTGACACATTGGTGATCTTATTAAAGAAATCAAATTCTCGCTGGTAGAAATCCTTTGCTGGACCCGACAGGGAGCCTGTGATCTCTTCCACTAACTGTTCCAGGAGGTCGCCAATGTCCGCTGAGGAGGAGACAAAGAGGCTGGGTCCCTGTGGCTGCCACAGGGGGCCTCAGGGGAATCCATATGTTTGCCACTCAGGCTGGAGGCCTCCTAGCACCCACATGGTGGTGTGTAGAATACTCTGTGGATGGGTATGAGGCTGCCATATGCTATCATCACCCTCACTGTTGACACTGCCATACTGGTAGAAAAGATGCCAGGGCCCAAGTGGAGCTCTAGGCAGGGGGAAGTGCCCCAGTGGTCACAAATTCCTCACTGCTGTGTACTTGCAAAAAAAAAAAAAAGCCAGTGTCACTTGAGCACATCCCTGGAGAAGCAATACAAATTAATTTTATTAAACTCTACCCTGAGGACTTGTCATTTTAGTATTTGTGTGATGAAACAGGATGCACACACAGTGCTCCTCCTAGATTTAAAGCCCACATGTCCTGAGAAGCACCAGGCAACTGACATTCAAGCTGAACTCACCCCTTTTTTTCACTGAACATCATTTTCTCCCTCCCCCCTTTTCTCTCCCTCTAGGACTGGCAGCATAGTAGGCTTGCTTACACTAGCATCACAAGTACCTGAAGAGTGTGTTGTGCTACAATGTTAAGACATCACTAGGTGATAGGAGGTTTAAGCTCAATTATTTTCATACAGGATCACTGTCGTATATGTGGACTGTCATTGACAGAACTGTTATGGGACACATGAGAGTAATGTATAATGAAATGTGTTAACATTTCAAAGATTTGGATAACTCACTGATCTATATTTTTATAAATGACCACTGTTTGGTGTTACAAAAGCCTGCCCAGGACTGGAGGTGTCACTCATTGGTAAAGCATTTAGCTAGCATGTTTGAGGCCCTGAGTTCCATCCCCAGCACTACCACCAGACCACCAAACCACAAAAGCCTGCTTGGGTACAACTGGAAGGAAAACCAAAGGATCTGAATAGGACACAGCACAAAGAGCTCCCAAATGATTTTTCAGATGCCTCATTGTTGTTAACCTTTAACAAACTACAATTTGTGGGGCCTGGTGTTGAATCAATATCTACAGTAACCTCTAAGACTACTAAAATACTCCCCTTTTCCAACTGCATGCCTGTGTGAAGCTGAATTTCCTTCCTTATATTTCCTACAATTTTTCAACCAGAACAACATACAGAACTTCAACAGTTTTACAGCAGAAGCAGAGTGAGAATTCAGCTGTTTTCTATTAAGCCAGACCGGGAGAAGGGGGGCACTTGTGAAAACAGCAATGCTATTTTATAGCAATGCTATTCTTCTAGATGTCTTCTCAATTTGGGGGGGAAATTTTCATAAGAAATATTTACGTTAACTTGTAATGAATAGACTTAGCTTTTTAAAATTACTCATTTTAATTGTTAATCCTAGTGAACATTGATAGATAGCTAATGCCCACATAAACCAAGACTCTTTGAGGGTCTCAATAGTTTTAAGAGTGTGAGGGGGCCCAGAGGTTACCCTGAGAATCACTGTGCACTGCCCTTCCTCACAGAGTCACAGGCTGTATCAGACCCAGGATTATTGACACTGTGATGGCACAAGTATCTCCCCAGCAGGGGACTCACACATTTGGGTGCTGCAGGATGACACCTAGATGGCATGTACAAAGGCTGTTACATGGTAAGAAATGCCTTACCAAAGGCTGGGAAGCACAATTCACCAGGGATCTAGAGACCACAGAAGGCCCAGGCCAGCTGCTGAAGGTGCTGAAGATTGGGAGAGAGGCCTGAGGAAAAAGGACAAAATACTCACGATCTTTCTGGTGTCCCTCTTCATCTAGGTAGATGTTAGTTTTCATGTTCCAGATAAACTGGTGCGCCAGAAGCTGGGATCTAGACGCTGCCCACAGAATATACTCGCGTACATAGCCCATCTGCAGGAGAGCAAAGTCCCTGTTAGCCTGGGCTCGGGGTCCCCTCTCTTCCAGGTCAGATCCCTTCTAACTGGCACAGGAGCTAACTCCCAGGAGTGCTTGGCTATGTGGCTCTTTCTGTGTGGGTGACCTCTCCAGGATTCATGGCAAGTCCAGCCCAGGGGCAAGCCAAGTTCCACCTAGATGGCTGGGACCCAAGGGGGTGAGGGCCCCAATAGAGGGCTGAGTCAGTGTTTGTCTCCTTGACTTCCTTCTCCTGGATTTAAGAATGACTCTCAAACCAATTTCTGTCCTTTGGAAATACAAGAAGCTCATTTGTGGACCGGGGATTTAGCTCAGTGGTTCCAGCGCCTGCCTCACAAGTGTAAGGTCCTGAGTTTGATTCCCGGTACAAAAAAAAAAAAAAGCTCATTTGTAAGCAAGTTGTTTAGAACAATGTTAGGTGACAGACGGGTTCTAGAAAGCTCTATTTAATGCAGAGCTACTTCTTGCAGAAGTTAATATACTGATGGTCACTATCCTAAGGACCTCTCCTCTTTTTCCTTTTTAGTTATTTCCCACCACTCATCTGCTAACCTCAGTGTTCTGTTTTTATTTTTCTTCATACTAAAAATATTGGGTACTAACTATATTAACAAATTACCTTTTGTCCCGGGCACATTTTCCACTGGGGACATACAATTAGATGAAACCCAGTACTGAGCTGTACCCTCAGCCCTTTTCATTTATTTGTTTTTATTTTGGGATAAGGTCCTGCTAAGTTTCCCAGGCTGGCCTCAAACTTCTTATCCTCCTGCCTCAGCCTCCAGAGTAGCTGGAATACAGGCATGTGTATTCCACACCTGGCAGGTAACTCCAGTTTTAATGATCATGCCCTAGGTTTAAAAAGGAGGGCTGGCTTCTCAGGGAAGATTCCCAGAGGAGAGGCCTCTCTTTCTTTGCAGTACTTTGTGGCCACCCATCTGGTATAGTATTCCTTCGACGTTCCCAATGTGGACGGTAACTAGCTTATCTCCCAATTTTAATCCAGCAGATAGATCCAAAGGTAAACCGAAATATTCAATCTGTAGTGCTTTTAGATACAAGCTTGTTTTTTTTGGTACCGGAGATCGAACTCGGGTCCTTGTGCTTCCGCAGCAGGTGGCGAAACCACTGAGCTAAATCCCCAGCCCACAAGTTTGTTTTATAATAAAAACAATGACAGAATTCCAAAGCCAATATACTACATGTGGTATATATTTGCCACTTCCATGCTATTCTTTCTTGGCCATTTCATTAGTTTTGTTTTTTTTATTTTTTAAAGACTGTGTCTTGCTATGTTTCCCAGACTGGCCTCAAACTCCTGGGGTTAAATGATCCTCCTGCCTCAGCCCCAAAGTAGATGGGTCTTATAGGCTTAGGACACCATGCCCAGATCTATTCTTCCTCGTTAGAAAAACAAGTGTAAGTAAATATGTATATGTATTTATAGCTGCACAGGTATTCTCTAAAAATGGGGGAAAAAATAAATAAAGCTAGCTGAGTCTTGAGTTGGTATAACCACAAAGAATTCTTTGACACAAAATCTAATTGTATGTCCACAATGGGAAATACAGCATGCTAAGGACAAAATAGCAAAATTATCCAAGCCAGTTTTTGGCACTCATACTGGTAAGTAACAACATCAACACTGCTACTTTCAAACTACTAATTACTACAAAAAAAATAACATGTTAATGTAGTTAGCACTCAATATTTTCAGTGTTAAAATACTCAAACATAGAATGAAATATAGTTTTTTTTAAAAAAACCACCCTGTTATCCTACATCTGAAGTGGGAGCATCAGTATGATCTCGATGCACTTTTCTAGGCTGGAAAGGCTTGGAGAGGAGGACAACTCAGTGGCAGTGAGCATCTCAGCATGCAGATTAAGGCATCTCTGTAACAACTCCCACTAAAATGAACCAGAACTCTTCGCAAACTTGGTTGGTTGATTCTAGGTCTGTGGCAGAAAAACAGTAAGAACCTGGAATATCTTATTCTGGAAAGCAAGGAGACACTCAAAGACTAAAGACCAAAGAGCAGAGCAGACAATCTGAGGAGGTTACCTGCAGTTGGAAAGATACACATCAGAAAAGAGTAACTGGGACTTTGGGTGTAGCTCAGTGGTAGAGCACTTGCCTAGCACAGGTGTGATCCCCCAGCAGCACAAAACAAACAATAGTGGGCTAACAGACACTGAAGGTGTCCAAATCCACAAGTTTATAATGCTATTTGGAAAAAACAAACAAACACCTCATTGATCACCTTTGGATAATGCTAAAGAATTAACTTATTATTTTGAAAACTAGAAAATAAAATACAATTTTCAATGTATGTATTGTTTTGGGGGATTGAACCCAGGGCCTTCACACTGAGCTACTCCAGCCTTTTTTATTTTGAGATAGGATCTCAATAAGTTGCTAAGTTGCCAAGGCTGGGCTTGAACTTCCAATCCTCCTGCCTCTGCCTCCTAGAGTACAGGGATTTAAAGGTGTGTACCACTACAACTGGCAAGATAGATTTATTGATTTATGATTTACATAGCAACTCATAAAATATAGGTGAGAAAAAAAGAAACTGCAGCCTACCTACACTAACTGCAGCCACCTGAGCCCACATGTGCTCAGTGCAGACTGCACATGTGACCATTTTCTGTTGGTTCACATGGAGACCCTGGGCACTGGCACCTGCTCCCCTCTTCCTCTGGATCAGGCCCTTCTGCTAGGCCCATATAGAAGCATAGTGCTAAGCAGTGAAGATGGAACATGGTTGGTAAAGGGGACAGGAGGGAAAGGGAGACAGCTTCCTGCGGACAAGGTGCTTCGTGGCGGTCCCACAAGCGTTGGCATCAGAGCTAGGGGCCCAGGAGGTGAATGTGGCTCCACATGTGTCATTGCTCAGATTGGAGGGTTGGCAGCCACCTAGCTGGGGCAACAAGTGGTTCTACAAGACCTTTTAATAAAGGAGAGAGGTTGACTGCAGCTGTAGAAGCTCTTTGGTCTCTATAACCTCGATGGAGCACCATGCCATTCGCTGGGGAGGACATCCAGCCCCAGGGATCATACCCACTGTGGCTAATGCAAGCAGTGAGAGCCAGCCTGCCTGGGGGAGAGGAAGCTGAGGCACAATGTGGGGAGTATGGTGCCCACTGAAGCTAGGGCTGAGAGCTCCCCAGGGTTGGCAGGTGTGGGCTCCTGGTTGTGATCACACTGGCAGGTGATTCTGTGCCATGCCCAGAGCTACACACTTTATGTGCATGTGCTTTTTCACGAGCTGCACTGTACTCTGCAAATTTACTTCTTGAAGTACCTCAGAATGTGACTGTTTGGAGACAGGGTCTTTAAAGGGGTAATTAAGAAAAAAATGAAGCCAGGTATGATGGCACCCAGTTGTAATCCCAGTGTTCTGGGAGGCTGGGGCAGGAAGATTCCAAGTTCAAGCCCAAACTGGGCAATTTAGCAACAAAATTTTTTAAAAGGGCTAGGAATGTATCTCAATCCAAACGCCCTGGGTTCAATCCCCAGCATCTCTTAAAAAAAAAAAAAAGGTCATTAGGGTGGGTCCTAATCCAGGATGACTGGAGTCCTCCTAAGAGATCAGGATGAAGACACACAGATGGAACATCATGTGAAGACAAAGGGAGAAGATGCCACCTGCGAGCCAAGGAAGAAACCAGCCCTGCTGACACCTTGATCTTAGACTTCCAGCCCCAGATTTGTGTGCAAATTAATGACTACTTGCTCTGTGGTGCTTTGCTTTGGCAGCCCAAGTAACTAATACATACATCATCTTGTCTAATCCTCACCTCTACCCAGTGGAAAGACAAGGAAATCTGGTTCAGGGAATTTATGTGGCCTGAAAACAGGCTGCCTACTCTGAGGAAAGGGCTGTCAAAGCTCCAGAGCCCACTCACTCTACACAGCCTGACTGGGCCTCGGGGTGGGACAATAGGAGCACAAGGACTGTAGTTATGGCTGAGCAGCCCTGCTCCTAAGGGAAATCCCACAGAGCCTGTGACAGCTAGGGACCAGGTTGGGTGTCCAGGGCAGGAATGTGCACAGCTGCAGGAGGGCAGAAGATGGCTTGTGTCAGCACAGCCTTACCTTGTCATACCTGAGGGCCTGCACGATCTGGGGGATGTAGAACAGGATGGCATCCTGCACAAGAGAAAAAAGGACTGTAAACCTTAAGGTTAGAACAGTCAACACAATTGGTCTAGAGCGGTGATGGTGAACCTTTAAGAGCTTTCAGTGTTAAACAGCCAGCTGCAGCACATGTGCCATAGGTTCACCACTACTGGTTCAGGGCCCTATTCAGTACACAGTGTCAGACACTAGGACCTGTCCCTGCTTCTGCGTACTCCACAGGATGCTGCCCTCCTCAGTACACCCCAGCAGGACTAAGAACTGGGAAAGGCCTAAAGGATGGCAAGGAAAGTGACCAATGCCTTGAAACATGAGGATGGTAAAAGGCAGAAGAAATAAGACTCCCTCATTTACAAGGAGAGGAATCCACCTCAGGGAAATGGGCTGAAGGTTAGAGCAGAGGCCCTGGGCTATAGTGCCTGAGACTCCAGAACATTCTACAGACCTTTCCTCCGCTGGTCACGGTGGGTTGACCCTCAAGAGTTCACTGTTGGAACCAGGTATGATGGCACATGCCTACAATCCCAGCACTCTGGGACACTAAGGGAGGAGGATTGCAAGTTTGAGCCCAGCCTGGGAAACTTAGCAAGACCCTCAAAATTTTTTTAAAAGGGACTGGTATGCAGCTTAGTGCAGAAGCCTTGGACTCAATATCTACTACCCAGAGGAAAAAATGTATTTGCTGTTGGGTAAGAGGCATAGGTGCCGTGGGAAGTTGCTCACTTCTGGAACCAAACTCAAGTAAACTTTATTTAACCCGTAACAAAAGCTAAAAAACAAGTATGACTAGAAAACACAGCTGAATTAGAACTAAATCTATCTTCTACAACTACTTGAAGAAAAATGAGGAATGAAGACATATTCTAGGATGGACAGGCACAGTCGGGTCCCTCCCAGCTCCCACAACGAAGCTGTGTCTTCTCTCTCCACTGAACAGTGCTACCCGAGGCTCACCGGGGGGAAGGACCGCAGGACTTTCACCCCGTACTGTGCTGTGAGAGGGTGTGGAGGGTACATGCTGGAGAAGTAGGAGAGGCCCGTGGGTGGATCTGTGGGTGCCCAGCATAGCACATGGCTGAGCTCTGGAGCATCGGCATCGATGGTGTGCCAGGTCACAAGGAACTAGGGAGAAAGAGGGGAGATGAGTGGCTCAGGCCGTCCCTGGGGCCTGGCTGGGGATATCCAGCCCATGGCACGAATTACAAGGACGGACATAAAAAGTGATAATCACAACCCATTTAGAACTGCAGAAAATGTTTCTCGTGCACTATGTTATAGTGTAATTTCAATTAGGTTAAAGTACATTAAAATTTTCCTACCATAAGCATAATAAATGCTACATATTAGAAATGAAAAATGCAGGAAGTTAAAATACTTCAGCCCTGAGGTCACCTGGGCGCTGTTTCTGCCTGAATCTGGTGTCCAGGCATCCTGGGCTGAGTTCTAGATTTGGTTTGCACCTAGACCAGGTGGGGGCTACATTACCTTAATAGCTTCAGGGACATCACTAACAGCTCCAGGGTCCAACCGAACAAGACGGGTCACTTCACTCCCAATGGCTTCTGTGTTCTTGAACCTACAGCACACAGAGGTATGGGCAGGGTGGCCTTAGCAGCAGACATTCCCTCACTGCCAGGGAAGGAGGAGGGAAATACTGAACTGGAGGGATTCAGAGCCTTCTCAGTGACATCTAAATGTTCTCTGCTACTGATACATTGGTCTGAACACAAGTGTTTGAAAAAGAATTGCATTAATAGGTCAACTATGAGGAAATGCCAGAAATTTCTTAAACAGGAATTAACCTATGCTCAGTATTTAAAGGGCCTCTTTATAAAGTCCTTGTTTTTAGAACCCTGCCTTTTACTCCTTTCCAGTTCTGTACCCCCTTACCCTGGCTGTTTACACAGTCCCTCCTCATGTTAGTGTCTTTTTTTCTAGTTTTTTTGGAGACAAGGACTCGCTATATAGTCCAGGCTGGCCTTGATCTCACTGTGTAGATTGAACTTGCAATGATTCTCCTGCCTCAACCTCTTTTTTTTTTTTTGGTACCGGGGATCGAACTCGGGTCCTTGTGGTTGTGCAGCAGGCAGCGAAACCTCTGAGCTAAATCCCTGGGCTTGCCTCAACCTCTTGAGTGCTGGGATTACAGGCATGTGCCACAACACCTGGTATCAGGTCAATGTTTTAGTCCACAGTCCAAGGTCACAACACACCTCACCTGGTGAAAGGGCAAACATGAGTTTGCAGGTGTTACTGCCCCCAAGCTAATGCAAGGAAGACTTTTCATAAGCACTGTGCTTTGAAACAATACAAGAGAATTGCTCTATGGTTCTGCTCCTGAGGGTCAAATAGGCACAGTAGGAAAAAGCAAAGAGGCCAATTTGAGCTTCCAGTGAAGAAATATCTGCTTCAGATGCATCCACAGGGGTTGGGGGACTGTCTACAGGAACTGTCATGGTGGCCTCTGCAGTCCCTCTAGCTACTATCAGACTAAGAATTTTGTCCCTGTGGAGCCTCCACAGGACAGCTCACAGGACACTATAGCTATAGCACAAGACTCCTCTGAGTAGCCTGTACTGAAAGATAACTTCCAGGAAGAAATCCAAACCCTCAGCCTGTTTCTGCAGCCTGTCTCCCTGGAGCAGTAACATTCATGAATTGATTGTGGCCCTGAAATCACTCTGACATTACTTCCTCAGGACTCTGACAAGAGCAAAAGGGTCACTATAATCTCTGCACTGAGTGAGTGTCTTGGTTAGAAGACTGGCCTGTCTGATGACTTTCCAAATGTCTCAGTGGGGGCCACATTATGCTCCTCAGCAAATAGGACCCAACCAGCAGGGCCCTACACTAGACCTCTAAGGAGTCTGGGGTGACCCAAGGACCCACCTGGCTGGCAGCTGGACGGCCAAATGAGGAGAGATGCTCCAGGCAAGGTTCACATTGTCTTTCCACTGTTTCTCACTTAGGCTGATGTACTTGGACCTCCAGTTGGCTACGCTGTTCTCTCCAGCCTGGTCCAGCTCCAGCTCTGGGGCTGACAGCGGGTTGTACCAAGTGATGAGACGCTCTATCTCAGTAGCCTGGTGAGACCAGACATAATGCCCAATGCACCTTCTGCAGGTCCCCACATGCTACCCCTGCCCCCGGGTGCTGTGTTGGCACACAGCACGCAGTGACTGCAGCCATGGGCCTTACCAGCAGGGACAGCAGCAGTGTCCTGCGCTTCATGTAGTACTTGTGGAGCTGGGAGCCTCGGTTGGTTTTCTTAGACATCCCTAGGGAGGAAGCACAAAGCATGGGTGTGGTCTCTGGAGGTCACCTAACTGTCCCATGTTTCTAGAACCTAAAAGAAGCTTTTGGTTCCACTATCTGAGAATTCACCAGGTCACCAGAATGGGGACTCAGATGTGACAGACATATAAGCAAACCTCCCACCAACCTGACTTTTTGGAAATGGTTGACATGCCACTGGACAAGGGATAGGTGTTGATCCAGCCTTGTGTGGCCTGTTGCCGAGAGCCCACAGTTATGTCCAGGTTGCTCCGGGTATCCTGGTTATCTGCAGGCAAACACATCATTGATTTTCGGATGCAGCTCAAGAAATGGCATCCCAAACAGAAACCTGAATTTTCACCAGACATAAGGCACATTTTGCAGCATCAGAGGACTGCAGAATAAACATTCCAGACAGCAAGTTTTTCAAACACCTGACACGTTTTATTCTAACCATTCTAGACGGAAATATTTCTAAAATTTATTATATTTCTGGTGGCCTTCACACTACAATAAAACAAATACAGTGATACCTCAGTTCACAAACTTAGTTCTTTCCATAATTCTGGTTGTAAACCAAACTGGATGAAAACTGAATCATATTCAACATATTCAATGTTGGCCTTATGGAGAGATTTGATTCAGTTCACAATCAATTCAGTCTGTGGCCAGAATTGTGGAAAGAATTAAGATTGTGAACCAAGGTACTACTGTACCATTATTCTTTTCTCTCTTTCCTGGTCCCCCGGTACTCGGGATTGACCCTAAGGCCTCCACACTAAGCTATATTCCTAGATGTTTTCTTTTTTCCCCCCTAATTTTCAGACAGGGTTTCACTGAGTTATTAAGTTGCCCACATTGGGCTTTAACTTGTGATCCTCCTGCCTCAGCCTGCCAGAGCTGGCCACCATTCCCAGCTCCATCATTTTCTTTACAGATAGTGGCAATTATCTGATGACCAGCATTGTGTTGTTCATTAATATAACAGTACCCTATATCACGAAATCAACCAATAACAAATGCTGGCGGGGGTGTGGGGAAAGAGAAACACTGCTCCACTGCTGGTGGGAGTGTAGACAGGTGCAACCACTGTGGAAATCAGTATGGAGACACCTCAAAGAACTAGGACTGGAAGTCCCATTTGACCCAGCTATTCCCCTGCTGGGTACCTTCCCCAAAGAATTAAAAGAATCATACCTCAGCGATATATGTGCACCCATGTTTATAGCGGCACAGTTTGTAATAGCTAAAGCTTGGAAACAGCCCAA